CCTGAGACTCAGAGACCATCGCGGCACGGGTGCGAGGGCAGGCTGGAGGGGGGAACACAAGAGCTCCTGGGGTGGGGGGCCCCGACCTGTGGTCCCAGGGCCTCAGTGAGAGAATGAGCCGGTGCTCGGGAGGCCGTGTTCCCCGTGGACACCACAGCTGTGACCCTGCCTGGGGGCCACCACCTCTGTGCCTCCCCACAACCGGGCACGGGGTGCTGGACGGACCTTGGGTCCCACGCGTCTGCCCTCCCCTGCCCACGCCCCTGTCCGCCCCAGCTCTGGGCCGGCCGCTGGCTGGACAGGTCTCGGCTCAGACGTGTCCCCGGCTCCGGGCGGTCAGGTGCCAAGGGGTGGTCACGCTGCTCTCCACTCCCTGCAGGGAGCAGCTGCGGCCACTGTGTGTCCACTTGGGGCTCTGCCCACGTCCCAGCCCACAGACCCCTCGCGCCGTGACCCAGGGCCCAGGACCCCAGCCCGGCCCGGCCTCCTTTCATGGCTTGGCTGGGCCAGAAACGCCATGTGTTCCCCAGGACCCTCCTGCCTGCTCCCCAGGGTGGACACAGGTCTGGCTGCCCACGCTGACCTCACCGCCAGCTCTGGGGCACTTGCCTCCTTCCTCGAGGGGTTCCTATGTGCCCCATGGATGTGGGCGTCCTGGCTCAGAGACACCAGCCAGCCCACCAACCCAGGCCTCCCTCTGTGGCCCTGCCCTCCCTCCTGCCCACCTGCAGGCCAGGGAGCCCCCACGCTGGGCCCAGGACCCCCTCCCGCCCTTAACTCACAGGGGACCCCGGGCATGCGGGACAACCCGCCAGGGCTGAGTGTCAAACAATTCGCTCCCTTAAGAACAGCAGCCCTGGGCGGGGTCTCCGGGCTGGCTGAGGGGCGCAGGGCACAGGGGAGGCATCGGGACCCGCAGGCCAGCCACAGCGACTGCTCTGCGTCCCCCAGCAGAAGTGAGGTTTTGCCCAGGAGACCCGCTGGGAAGATCAGTGCTGGACTGGACCTGGCCGGTGTCCATGCTCAGTGTTGGGGTTCAGGGCTGAGGGTGGGAAGGTGTGCAGAGGGGGCGGGGCTGAGGGTGGGAAGGTGTGCAGAGGGGGCGGGGCTGGGGGTGGGAAGGTGTGCAGAGGGGGCGGGGCTGAGGGTGGGAAGGTGTGCAGAGGGGGCGGGGCTGGGGGTGGGAAGGTGTGCAGAGGGGGCGGGGCTGGGGGTGGGAAGGTGTGCAGAGGGGGCGGGGCTGAGGGTGGGAAGGTGTGCAGAGGGGGCGGGGCTGAGGGTGGGAAGGTGTGCAGAGGGGGCGGGGCTGGGGGTGGGAAGGTGTGCAGAGGGGGCGGGGCTGGGGGTGGGAAGGTGTGCAGAGGGGGCGGGGCTGAGGGTGGGAAGGTGTGCAGAGGGGGCGGGGCTGAGGGTGGGAAGGTGTGCAGAGGGGGCGGGGCTGAGGGTGGGAAGGTGTGCAGAGGGGGCGGGGCTGAGGGTGGGAAGGTGTGCAGAGGGGGCGGGGCTGGGGGTGGGAAGGTGTGCAGAGGGGGCGGGGCTGGGGGTGGGAAGGTGTGCAGAGGGGGCGGGGCTGAGGGTGGGAAGGTGTGCAGAGGGGGCGGGGCTGAGGGTGGGAAGGTGTGCAGAGGGGGCGGGGCTGAGGGTGGGAAGGTGTGCAGAGGGGGCGGGGCTGAGGGTGGGAAGGTGTGCAGAGGGGGCGGGGCTGAGGGTGGGAAGGTGTGCAGAGGGGGCGGGGCTGGGGGTGGGAAGGTGTGCAGAGGGGGCGGGGCTGGGGGTGGGAAGGTGTGCAGAGGGGGCGGGGCTGGGGGTGGGAAGGTGTGCAGAGGGGGCGGGGCTGAGGGTGGGAAGGTGTGCAGAGGGGGCGGGGCTGAGGGTGGGAAGGTGTGCAGAGGGGGCGGGGCTGAGGGTGGGAAGGTGTGCAGAGGGGGCGGGGCTGAGGGTGGGAAGGTGTGCAGAGGGGGCGGGGCTGGGGGTGGGAAGGTGTGCAGAGGGGGCGGGGCTGGGGGTGGGAAGGTGTGCAGAGGGGGCGGGGCTGGGGGTGGGAAGGTGTGCAGAGGGGGCGGGGCTGAGGGTGGGAAGGTGTGCAGAGGGGGCGGGGCTGAGGGTGGGAAGGTGTGCAGAGGGGGCGGGGCTGAGGGTGGGAAGGTGTGCAGAGGGGGCGGGGCTGAGGGTGGGAAGGTGTGCAGAGGGGGCGGGGCTGAGGGTGGGAAGGTGTGCAGAGGGGGCGGGGCTGATTGGCAGGGGACCATGTGCAGGGCCGTGTGCAGAGGGGGACAGGCATGCCGGGCCCCCTGCCCTGGGCTCTGCTGCCCCTCCATCCTGCGTCCTGTGGAGGTGCGTGAGCAGAGCAAGCCCTGAGCACTGCCAGGAGGCCCCAAAACAAACCAGAAGAGCACCTGGAAGGAGTCTGAATTGCTCTTTCCACCAAACTGTGTGTGTATGTGTCACTGTACGTGTGTGTGTGTGTGCACTGTGTGTATGCGAATGTGCGAGTGGGTGTATCTGTGTGTGAGTGTGCGTGTATACATGAGAGTGTGTACATATGTGGCCATGTATGTGAGTGTGTGTATACATGAGTGAGCGTGTGTCTGTGTGTGACTGTATTAGAGTGTATGAGTCTATATATATGTGTGTGTGAGCGGTGTGTTTGAGTGCGCGAGTGGGTGTACCTGTGTGATTGTGTGTATATGTGTGTATGTGAGTGTGTGACTGTATATGTGAGCATGTGAGTTTGTATGTGTGTGTGTGTGAGTGCGCGAGTGGGTGTACCTGTGTGATTGTGCGTATATGTGAGTGTGTGTTTGTATGTGTGAGTGTGTGTATCTGTGTGATTGTGGTATATGTGCATGTATATGTGTGACTGTAACTGTGTGTGTGTGTGTGTGTGTGTGTGTGTGTGCCAGCCCCCTGCACTCTGCAGGACATGGTAGCCCTTGCCTGCCCTGCCCTGTGTCTGCCCGCGGGGCAGGAAATAAGGCCCCGGGGCCCTGCCGAGCCAGGATATGCGGCCTCGAGGGTCCTAGCCAGGCAGTTTGGGTGCCCAGCGCCCCGCCTGCCTGCCTGGTCAGCGCCCCGGCTGAGACCTGTCCCGGGACAGTCCTGCCCTGACCCCCTGCTGGCCTCTGCTCTGGACCCATCTGAGAGGGGCCTGGCGTTCGCCTCCGGGATGTTCCCACCCCCCCCCACTCAAGTCTGAAGGGTCACGTTTGGGGACAGCCCGGGAACCCCAACAAAGGGGTCCTCCCGCCCCTCGGACGCCTGGGCCTGTGGGTTTCCTGCCACCGCTCTTCCGGTTGCAGACCCCTGAGCCCGCCAGGCCTCTCCGCCACCAATGGGGGTCAGTTAGAGGGGTCTCCTCCCAGGAGAACCCCCAAACCTCTGGCCTTGCCTGTGCTCGGGGCCACTGGCTCGGGTCAGAGTGACGGGACGGGGGCTGGGGTCTCACAGGGGCATCTCCATCAGACAAAGCTGACCCGTTGGTTCTGGGCACCCATTGGCCAGACCGGGCTGCGCCCAGCCCCCAACACCTCTGTCCTGCAGGACTTCTCAAGCTGCTGCCCCAGAGACTGGAGTGCTAGAACCCCCCAGTCCCTGCCCCCAGCCAGCAGGCCACTGAACACAGTCCACTCCAGAAAAGCACCCGGCCAGGCCCTCGGCTGGACCGAGTCACACCGCTGGCCACGGTGCCGAGGTGCCCGGCCTGTGCTTCTGAATCCCCGCCGTGGGCCCGCGGCCTTGCCCTGTGGCCGGCCTCTGTCATCCAGGGGACGACGCCCGTTCAGTCGAGATAAGCCGCACACAAGGAGCAGAGTCCCCCGTCAGGCCCCCAACCGCACGCGTCTGCACACGCCCACCGGCCTTCCCCAGGCGGGGGCCTTGCAGGAAGTGGGCACTGTCCTGGGACGCTCCTGCTTTCCCGCGTCAGACTCGGCAATGTGTGCATGTGTGTCTGGGTTGCATGTGTGTGCATTGTGTGCTCACAGATGCCTTATGCACACGTCTGCACATACGTGCATTGCACTTTTGCACGCACATGTGTGCATGCTTGTGGATGCCTGGATATGTGCATGCTGTACATGTGTGCCTGTGGGCTGCTTGTGTGAGTTCCTGGGTGCCTCTAGCATGTGTGTACACTTGTGCATGCGTGCATATGTGTTCACGGGTGACTTGTGTGTCCCTGCATTTCTTGTGTGCATGTGCGTGTGTGTTCATGGGTGTCCCTTCATGTTCATGGATGACCTGTGTATGTGTGCATGGGTTCCAGTATCTCCTGCGCTTATGCATTCATGGATGACCCGTGTGTGTGCTCATGGTTGTCTTGTGCACATGCGCACGTGTGCGCTCTTGTACATGCACGCATGCCCATGGATGCCTGTGTGTGTTGTTTGCATGCTCATGTATATCTCATGTTTGCTCTGTGTGAGTGCATGAGTGGGCTCATACCTAGCTCACATGTGCACATGTGTAGCTGTGTGCTTGTGCATGCATGTGTGTGCTTGTGCACACGTGTGAGCTTGTGCACGCATATGTGCGTGCTTGTACATGTGTGCTTATGCATGCGAGTTTGTGCACATATGTGTACGTGTGCTTGTACATGCATGTGCTTGTGCATTCATGTGCATGTGGTGCATGTGCACATGTGCTTGTGCATGTGTTTGCACATGTGTGTGCGTGTGTGTGCTTGTGCATGTGTGTGTTTGTGTGCACATGTGTGTGCTTGTGCATGTGTGTGCGTGTGTGTGCATGTGCTTATGCATGTGTGTGTGCGCACATGTGTGTCCATGTGTGTGCTTGTGCATGTGTGTGCGTGTGTGTGTGCTTATGCATGTGTGTGCGTGTGATTGTGCATGTGTTTGTGTGCACATGTGTGTGCAGGTGTGTGAGTGTGCTTGTGCATGTGTGTGCGTGTATGTGCGTGTGCTTGTGCACGTGTGCATGTGCTTATGTGCAAGTGTGTCGTCACCGCACATGTCCTAACGCTGCTTCCGGTGCTCCCGAAGGGGCCTGAAGGGTGAGATCCAGCGGGAGAGCGCCAAGCGCGAGGCCCCTCCGGAGGGGGAGGCACCGCACCCGCCCCAGTGCCCCCACTGCCTGCAGCCCCGCCAGCCGCAGGACGCCCCCGGGAGCCAGTGCCGGGACTGCGGGCTCTCCTGCTGCCCCCGCTGCGGCCCTGCGCCCCCGGACGAGGGGGGCTGGCTCTGCCACCCCTGCCACCTGGCCAGGTGACCGCGCTGCCCGGGGCTCGCTGTGGGGGGCTGGGTGGGGGGCGGCGGGGGGGCCACGGGAAGCCGCGTCTGAGGCCGAGTCTCCGCAGGGTGGTGCAGATCGGCTCGCTGGACTGGTACTACGGGCACCTGAGGGCCCGCTTCAAGCGCTTCGGGAGTGCCAAGGTGATCCGCTCCCTCAGCGGGCGGCTGCAGGGCACAGGTGAGGCTGCCATGGAGGGCTCAGGGCGGGTGAGGCGGGCATGGGGCCCAGGTCGGCCTTCTGTCCAGGCGAGCGTGTGCTGAGTCTGCCCCGTGGTGGCGGCCTTGCTGGGGGTCCCCTGAGAGATACTGGGCCCAGGCTGTGCTGCGGTCCCAACCAGAGGCGTCACCCGTTCTCGGCCTCTCACAGACCCCCAGGACCTGCCTGGCCCAGCCGGACACTGACTTTTGTCCTGGGCCCTGGATCTGGTCAGCAGCACCAAGCGGCCATCAGGTGGCGCTGTGAAGCCTGCCCTGGCTCCCACTGCCCAGTCTGGGAGCAGGTGCTGGGCCAGGGGCCAGGGCTGGGCCCGGTCAGGCACTTGAGTCCCAGCGTATGCGTGTCTCCGACTGGCCCTCCCTGCCAGACCCCTGAACGCCACGTGGGGAAAGTGGGTCGCAGGCAGCTGGGCCGCAGTGGCCTTAGCCAAGCCCATCTGACGCGACCGAAGCTGGTTTGAGACCAGCCCAGCAGGCCCAGTGGACGGGGGCGGCCCCAGGCCAGCCCTGTGGGGGGGCAGCGGTGTGAGGACCCTGAGACCCGTGTTCCAGGTGAGGGCAGGACTCCCACCCCTGCCTGTTTTCCCGAGAAGCGTGAGGGTCCGGGGGGTCTCGCTGACCTGACGGCTTGGGGCGAGCCCCTGAGACCGACATCCTGGCCCCTAGCAGGGCACCCAGAAGGAGCAGGAGCTGGACAATGGAGGTGGACAGGGTCCCAGGGAGGGGGCAGGAGGGACAGGCAGGCCACTGGGGTCCCAGCACCAGGGGGTGGGGGCTGAGGGAGAGAGTGTCCCTGACTCAGCCCATGGCTGCAGCCACACCCACCCGGGGTCTGGGATGTGAAGGGCAGCAGGACGGGGGTCCAGATGCCAGGGGGCCACACAGGCCGGCATCCCCCATTGTGGCCCCCGGATAGCATAGGCAGGCTTCCAGTGTGGACAGTCGCCTCGGCCACACGGGATCCAGCTGGGGGGCTCAGGGTCAGAGCACCCGAGGCTGGTCAGGGTCAGAGCACTGGGGAGGGAGTCTGGGGTGACTTTCTCCAGCTGCTGGAGCGGGCAGGTGGGTGGGGCGGGGCCATGGGGGGCACCTCCAGGAGCTGAGGGCACGGCTGGATGGAGGAGGGGGGGGACGGCGGGGTTAGGGTAGAGGACGGAGGATGGACATGGGGGCGGCCGGGAGACACACGGGCTGGTGGGGCGAGGTGTGGACGGGAGGTGGACGGTGGGTGACGGGCAGTGGACGGGCGTGAGCAGGAGGGTGGTGGCCTGGGCCGCGGGGTGGGCTGGCCCTGGCCTGTCCCCGAGTGACCTGCAGGGCCGTTTCAGGAGCGGCGCTGGGCACGGGGGAGGGGAGCGGAGACAGCGAGCAGACGGACGAGGAGGTCGAGCCCCAGCCACGGGGCGGCAAGGTGAGTGCGGGAGGGCACTGTAGGGGGACACGGGGCCGTTCCTCTGCAGGGGGGTCTCTGAGGCCGCCCAGGGAAGCCCCCAGAGGCTGGGACCCAGCTGCAGTGGGCCAACGTGGGCCCGGCCAGAGGGGCCCGGGAGAGGCGGGCCGGGGGCAGGAGGGGGCCGGGGGGCTGGCGGGGCGAGGGCGGGGGGACAGGCAGGCCCGGGCAGTCTCAGGAGCACTGGGCTCTGTGGCCATGGTCCGCAGGGTGAGGCGCCGACTCCCCCTTCACGGTGCCCTGAGCTGGGCTCAGCTGGTTTGTCTCACTCACTGGGGGGTACAGAGAAGCCTGACCCCGAGGGTCTCAGGGCTTGGAGGCTCTGGGCTGAGGGGTTCAGGCCGGAGGTGGCGTTCACGGCATCCGGGACCCAGTGAGGCGTGGGGGGCTCTGGCTGGTGTCTGCCCCCCCGCAGGCCCTGCCACTGTCACATCTCCCCCTAAGACAAAGCGCCGCCTCTCCATCCACGGCTTGGACCTCCTGGACTCCCAGGATGTGACCCTCAACCACTCCGAGAGTCTGGAGGTGAGCCCCTGCCCCTGGGTCCATGGGGCAAATCAGGGCCCCTGAGCACAGAGCAGGGAGTCAGCCCTGAGCACGGAGCTGGGAGTCAGCCCTGAGCACAGAGCCGGGAGTCAGTCCTGAACACAGAACCGGGAGTGATTCCTGAACACAGAGCTGGGAATGACCCTGAGCACAGAGTTGGGAGTCAGCCCTAAGCACAGAGCCAGGAGCCAGCCCTGAGCACAGAGCCGGGAGCCAGCCCTGAGCGCCCCCAGGTGTGGCCTCAAACAAACGCGAGTGATCAAGAGTGTCTGTGCTTCGTGTGCCTGGTCTCGGGTGCAGATGCCCCCACCTTGGGACAGAGGGCCCAGAGGGTCAGTGTCTGGACCGTGGGCCTTGAGCCCAGGGGTGCCTGCCCGCTACTTGGGTCCCTCTCGGCGGCAGCCCTGACAGCTGTGCTCAGACCCTCACAGGCGAACCCGGCTCAGAGGGGACCCTGGTCGCAGAGGAAGCGGATGCCAGCGACTGTGGGCGCCAGCCTGGCCCCAGAGAGCAGACGACCGGCCCCCCGCCAGGCCCCCGGGACGCCCTCGCGGGGCAGCGCCTGCCTGCAGAGCTCAAACCCAAGCCCGGTAAGTGCCGCTGCAGAGAGGGGTGCAGGGGCTGGCCCTGGTCTGTGGGGACAGAGGGTGCCGGGCACTGTGACGTCTGTGTTGGTGCTGGGCCTGGCCTGGTGCGTGTGTGAGCTGGGCAACCCCGTCTGGGACCTCGAGGGGCCAAGAGGGGTCACACCCGCTCCAGGGACTTCAGGTCCTCAGGTCACCAAACCAACCACCCTGACTCCAACACCCCCCAGACCTGAGAGCTCAGGGAGCACCCAGAGAAGGAGCACTGGGGAGGGAGCACATAGGGGAAGGAGCACCTGGAAGAGGGAGCACCTAGGGAGGGAGCACCTGGGGAGGGAGCACCTGGGGAGGAAGCACCTGGGAGAGGGAGGATCTGGGGAAGGAGCATCTGGAAGGAAGACCTAGGGAGGAAGCACCTGGGAGAGAGAGCACCTGGGAGAGGGAACACGTGGGGAGGGAGCACCTGGGAGGGAGCACCTGGGAGAGGGAGCACCTGGGGAAGGAACACCTGGGGGGAGCACCTGGAGAGGGAGCCCCTAGGGAGGGAGCACCTTGGAGGGAGCACATGGGGAGCACCCAGTCCAGTGTCCCTGGGTGCTGCAGCGCCCCGCGGTTTGCGGCTGGCTCCCGGGGCCCAGGACACCCCCCACTAGACCTGCCCACCTCACCTCGCCACCGTCGCTTCCTCGCTTCCTAACGAGCCCCCAGAGGCCCCTGCTGTGCCCGGGCGGGGCTGGCGCTGAGCCGAGCAAATGAGATCGGCCTCGGCGGGGAAATTCGGTTAAGGTGTCTGCCAGGAAGTGAGCCCGGAGGGCCTGGGGGGCACGGGGAGGAGGGGGAGGCGCCCCGACCACGGCTCCAGTCACCTTGACCATCCAGGCAGGCCTCACGCGTGGCCTCTCCCCCGCCCCGCCAGGCTCGGGCACTGGGCTGTGGGAGCTCCAGCCCGGCCGTGCCCGCCTGTGCCAGCTGCCCCGCGGGCGACTGTGTGTGGCCTGGCGAGCACGGACTCCACTCCCAGGTGGGAGGGTCCCGCCCAGAGCCTCAGGGGGCCCGTGTGCCTGTCTTCGGGGCAACAACGCCCCCCCCCCCGCCTGCTCTGCGCCTCCCCCCGCCCCCCACCACTCACCCCTGCTCTTCCTCCGAAGGGCCAGACGACCCCTGGCAGCTGCAGGCGCCCCCCGAGGGCTGGGCTTCCCTGGCCTCCATCTGCGGGGACGCCCCCCTCGGCCCCCCTCGGAGCAGCCCGCCCTCACCCGAGGGCCAGGTAAGGGGTGCCAGGCCACACCCGGAGCCCAGGACCCCTCAGACGGGCGCTGCCCCCTCCCGAGGTCCCATGGGTCCTGGGTCCAGACAGAAGGTCAGGCAGACGGTGTGGTCCAGTGATGCCCAGTCACTGGTGGCTCACGCCAGTCCCCGCAGCCACCCCTGACAGGCCCAGCGACCCAGAACGCCATCCCCCCCCCCGACCCCCACTGAGCTGGACGCAGCCAGGACCTTGGTGGGAGCAGGAGAGACGCGTCCAGTGTTGGCGTGACTCCCCCATGTGTCCCCGAGGGGCTCACAGCAGGGACACTGAGGAACCTCCCCACAGGCGCCAGCCCAGACACCATCAGGAGTGACCCCCACAAAAGGGCAGGCAGGACCCCACAGCAGTGGACGCCCCAGTGGGACTGGAGACGCTGACTCAGTTTCCCCAATAGGGCCCAGGGTGGGACAGGGTTGGCACCTCAGCCCCTGGCCCGTGTCTGCTGCCCTGTCTGTGTCCCCTCACAGGGCGGGGGCTCTGGGCAGAGGGGCTGGGCCAGCCGTGCCCGCGGCCCCCAGCCGCCCTTTTCCAGCCCTTCCCTGCCAGCACGGGGCTCAGTGCCCCTCTTCGCCCCTTCCCGGCCGTGCCCACGCCCCCGCCGCCCGCCCCACGGGCACCGCCACTTCCTGCCGATCAATGGCCGCCCAGACGGTGGGTGCTCACGGCTCCCCCTTCACGCGAGGCCGGAAACGTGCTGGCGGGGCCCAGCAGACGTCAGAGAATTGATTCCCAGGCAGTGGCAGCCCCCAGGCATGGTGACTCAGGCCGGGGCCAGAGGTCCCCCATCGGGCCAGCATGTCTGGGCGCTCGGTCACCTGCCACCCATTTTCCGGCCGGAGTCCAGCCCGGAGCCTGACGGGGCTCCAGGGGCAGAGACAGGGTGAGGGGCCGATCAGCGGGGCCACTGCCCCCCCCTGACCGCAGGAGCCCCTCCCAGCACTGCGCACCGTCCCCGAGGTGCCGACTGGACACGGTTCTGCCCGGGGTCCCTCCCGCGGACACACAGACAGGGCAGGCCCCAGAGTGAGGCCCTGATGGTCAGCCCCTGGTCCAAGCTGGTCGGGGGCACCCAGGGGTGCTGAGGACGCCCCTGGGCACCCCCCTGGCATGAGGACTGACCCACAGGGCTCCCAGCAGGGCCCCGGCTGGACACTGTCCTGCCCGCGGTCCCTCCCAGGGACATACAGACAGGGCAGGCCCCAGAGTGAGGCCCTGATGGTCGCCCCCCTGGTCCCAGCTGGCCGGGTGCACCCAGGGGTGCTGAGGACATCCCCGGGCACCCCCTGGCGCGGGGACTAACTGCCCCGCCCTGCAGGGCCCCCCGCCCACGGACGCTGACAGGGAGGAGGCTGCCCTGAGGACAAAGCTGGCACAGCTGGTCACGCACCTCAGCGAGGATGAGGAGGACGGCGGCCCCCGGGGGGTGAGGCCCCACCCCTATGGCCCTGATGGGAGCGCGAGCCCGGAGAGAGCAGGAGCTGAGAGAGCAGGAGCTGACGGGTGCTGGGGCCACGGGTCACCTGGGGTCATGGTCACTCCTGGGGTCACAGGGTCACGGGTCTCCCCGCAGGTTGGCAGAGCAGAGCCACAGCCCCAGAGCCCAGGGGGCCCAGCCGAGGGCTGCAGGAACGCGGACCAGGAGTTGGCCGAGCTGGAGGACAGGGTGGCCGCGGCGGCCTGCGGGGTCCAGCAGGCGGAGAGTGAGGTCGCTGACCCCGAGGGGCCTCGAGGGCAGGCTCAGAGCTGGGGGCACAGTCAGAAGCGAGACGGGGCCCCCCGGGCAGTCTGGCCTGGCCCCCAGCCAGGTCACCCGTCCCCACGAGGGACAGTGAGGGGCCATGGGCTGGGCTGATCCTGAGCCCCAGCTGCAGCAGGGCGTGGGGTGGGCAGGGTCAGGGGACGACACCCCCAGGGCCACAGGAAGGACCTGGGGGTCCTTAGGAGCACCCGGGGGGTCCTGTGGCTGGGGAGTGGGCAGTCCCCGTGGGGCATTCCCACCTGGGGACAGTCAGGCTCATCAGGGGGGCCCGAGTTACAGGGTGCAGCTCCGGGTGCCACTGGGAAGGGGCGGCCACTGACCCTGTCCCCGGGTCCCAGGTGACGGACATCCAGTCCCGGATCGCAGCCCTGCAGTCTGCCGGCCTCACCGTGCAGCCATCCACCACCCGCCAGAGGACGTCCCACCTCCCGGTGAGGGGCCGGGAACGTGCAGGCTGAGGCTGTGCCCAGGGCTGCCCGCCGAGCTGGGCTCCCGTCCCCATCTCCACCCCCGTCCCTGTCCCTGACCCTGTGCCTGACCCCATCCCCGTCCCTGACCCCAACCCTGTCCCCGCCCGGCCTCCCGGAAGGGGTCTCTGCAGCCGGCTTTCCTGTGTCGCCGGGCGTCTCCGGGCTCAATGGTGACGCAGCCCCTGTGTCCGCAGGTCCTTCTGCCGCGGAGGATCAGGAGGCCTGACCAGAGACCGGGGAACGTGCCCGCAGACGCCCCTGAGCAGGACCTGGTATGTGGAGCTGCCAGTGGGGGAGGGGTGGTCCTCTCACAGGTGGCCGCTTGGAGGAGTTTCTGGGTGTCCCTGCCGGGTCACGTGGGGTGGGGGGCCTTGGGGACTGTGGGGGGCGCTGGCTGGACCTCTGCTGCCCTGACCTCGGGCAGCAGCACCCCACGTGGACATGAGTGGGCACTGGGCCTGGCACGGCGCTGGCAGCGACAGGAAGTGCCTTGGGACTCGGGCATGAGCGTGCCCACGCGGACAAGGGGACAAAGTGGGGTGCGGGTGGGCGTGGCTCCCCGGAAGGTGGCCTGTCGAGGGGCTGCCACTTCCCACGGCACCCCAGGGCCGGACCCCAGAGGAGCCAGGCCCATACTTATGCAGTGCAGGGTGCGGCCTCCAGGGGGCGCTTGTGCCCCGACTCCGGCTGTCCCTTGAGTGAGTCCCAGCCCTGCTGCTGTCCCCAGCTGCCCTCGGGGAGCCCGGCAGGGCAGGGCCTGCGCTGGGGGCACCCGGTGAGCTCTGGGCGCTCTCTGCCCCTCCCGCAGGTGGTGGCTGCAGCCCGGCCCCAGGGGGCAACGCTCAGGGGCTCCCCAGGAGCACTAGGTAAGAGCAGCAGGTGTGGGTCTGGGTGGGGCCTGTGCCCAGCTCCCGGACCCCCGGAGCACGTGGGCGCCGGGGGTTCCGGGCAGGGGGGAACTCCACCGCCTGACTCCCGTGAGCTGTCCCTGTGACAAGAATGCGGACGTCCCACCCGGAGCCCTGCGCCCTGCCACCCCCACCCGTCCCCCCCAGCTGCCTCTCCACGCTCCGTGCCCCCCGTCCCGGGGGCTGCTGTGCCCCTCAGCGGGGGCTGGGCCCACTGTGTCCCCACAGGCAGCACCTTCGAGCGGGACTCCCTGTACCGCAGCTCCCTGACGCAGAGGAACCCCACCGGGAGGTCGGCCGCCGCCCGCCTCGGCTTTGCGGTAATGCCCTCTCGGGAGCGGGACTGCTGGGACGGGCCGGGGCGCAGAGCAGAGCAGAGCAGGCGAACCCCAGGGGCACAGGCCACCGTGGGCACCGCCCCCGCCTGCAGCCCCGGGGCCCTGCCACGCGCTCTTGGTGCGTGTGCCCGAGCTCGCTCACCTGTGTGCATGTCTGTCCTCACCTGTGCACATGTGTCTGCAGTCACTCCCCTGTGCGTATGTCTGTGTTTTCTCACCTGTGCACATGTCTGTGCTCCTCGCCCGTGCACGTGTGCCTGAGCTCGCTGACCTGGGCACGCGTGTCTGTGTGCTGTGCCTTGCAGAAACCCGTGATGACCCACCGGCCCTAGAGGGGAGCAGGGCAGAGCCGCGCCCCTGCCTCCCTGTGTGTCCTCCCGTCAGTCCTCCTGGCCTGCGTTTCCTCACCCACCGTCCGGCAGAGAACCAAGCCCCCGTCCTAGTGGAGCCCTGCCGGTGGCCGCTGTCCGCCTGGGCTCCCTCTGCGCCCCACGGCTGCTGGTGGGCGCCGTGAAGCCCAGGGTCTCGTCCACGACCTCACCTCGCCCTCCTCCCTCTTCCTGCTGGCTTTCCTGCCAGGTGGGCACTCCGGGGCTCTCCAGGCAGCAGGCAGCAGGCAGGGCTGGAGGGACTCCCCCCAACCCCACCCACCTGCGTGCCAGTCTCCCTGTGTCCAGCGGGACAAGGGCCGAGAGGTGCCAGAGCCCCGGGCGTAGGAGGTCTGCCTGGAGGTGGCCGCACTGCCGGCTCGGCCCTGTGCGTCCCAGCGCCTCCCACGCCTGGATGCTTTCGTGTCTGTGGTCCCTCGAGGTCCCCGCAGGGACAGCTGGCCCCCTGGGGTGAATCTGAGCCCCCCTGCAGATCTCAGCCCCGAGCCAAGGCCACCCCCAGCCAACGGCGACTTCCTGCCGAGCCCCCGAGCCCCCAACGAGGCTGGGCCCCTGAGCCCAATGTTTGTCTGAAGCTGAGCAGCCAGGCAGGCCCCACCCCTCGCCCTTGCCACGCCCCCGCCCATGCCACGCCCACGCCACGCCCCTCTCCCTGCCCCCGCCCATGCCACGCCCACGCCACGCCCCTCTCCCTGCCCCCGCCCATGCCACGCCACGCGCCACGCCCCCGTTCTCCCCTCGCCACGCCCTTGTCACACCCTAGCCACGCCCCTCGCCCTTGCCACGCCCCGCGCCCTTGCCACGCCCCGCGCCCTGCCCAGCCCCGGCCGTTGTCCCCCCCCCAAATGTAGCTTTCCCGGGCCCCGGGCTCCCAGTGCACACAAACGGATTAAAATCTCCCCTTGATGCAACAGAGCCGCTTCCATCCTCTTCCTCGTTCCCGGGGTCGCCTGCCAGCGGGACACCCCGGACCGTCCCCACCGGGGGCATGTCCAGGCATCACGTCCGCCTGGGGCCTCCGGGCCACCTACTGTCTCCCGCTGCCCACTGCAACCACAGGGCCCCAAGGCAGGGACACGGGGACATAGGGACAGGGGGACGGGGGCTCTCACTCACCCTCCTGGGCCCTGCTCCAGGCCACAGTCAGACCCGGCAGCGCACACCTGCCCTCGCGCCCTCACCCACCCGTTCCCAGCCGTGCTCCCTGATCACTCATTCATTCACTCCTCAGTCACTCACACACTCATTCATTCGTTTTCCTCCTTCACCCGTTCTCTCCTCGCTCACTGGTTCACTCTGCCGTGGGTTCCCCGGTGGACCCCTCACGGACGCGCCCACAGGAGGCTGTGACCCTCCTCAGCCCCCAAGGCCTCTCCCACAGCCTGAGCTCATGCCCGCGGCTCCCCCCCACACACACACCGGTTCCCACGGCACTGACCCCTGGGTGCCACACTCGCGACCTCAGGGCAGGGCTCCGGGCCCACCGAGGGGGACCTGCCAGGTAGCCTGAGTCTCGAGGCCACCCCTGACCTGGATCCCTCCCAAAGCCCACCCAGATCCCCACACTGGGACCCCTCCCCAAAGCTCACCCAGACCCACCCCTGCCCCAGGCCTCCTCCCAAAGCCCACCCAGATGCCCCTACCCTGGAACCCCAGTCCCATGACACCTCCCCAAAACCCACCTAGACCTCCCTGTCCCAGGACCCCTCCCGAAAGCCCACCCGGACCCCCCTGCTTCGGGACCCAAAGCCCACTGCCTACGCACAAGCACCTGCCAGCCAGCACCCCCAGGGACACCCAGGGAATCACACCCCCAATCTCGGAAGGGCCCCACAGCGTTCCAGAGAGGAAGGGAGGAGAAAGGGGGCGCCCTCCTTGGCACCTTGGGACGACAGGGCAGGGGCGGCCCCTCCTGCCCCTTCCCCCAACCCTGGGTCTCAGCTCAGGGGTGCAGTCTCCCCACCATATGTGCGCACGTGTGCCGTGCTCGAGCAGAACCACAGTTACTGTACACACATGTGTACCGGCCTGCACACATATGCCCCATCCAGCACACACGTGTACAAGTCTAAAGAAACGCACATGGTGTATACCCACACACACGTACGACAGGCACATCATGCGTGTTGAGTGTGTGTGCATGGCCTAACCCTGCGCACGTGTAGAGCACACACACTCACACACACACAGCACAGGTGAGCACGGGGCGAGCCCTGGACGCGGCCACCAGCTCCTCCTCAGGGGCGCGGGGGCTGGGCGCGTGGGCCCGTCGGACGTCAGCCCGTGTCCGCCCCAGTGCCCGGGGCCAGCGGAGGCAGCTAATGCGGCTCGAGCCCAGCCACAATGAAATTACGTCGCCCGGGAAGGGACAGTCCCGGGCTGACGAGCGTCTCCGGACAGAATGGGAGAAGCCAAGAAAAAAGATCGTTTCCTGGCCCGACCCCGGAGGGGGACGCAGGGGGCGGGGGCTGCGTCGTCCCCTCTATAAAAGGACGTGCCGGAAATCTGGGTCACCTCTGCTCCAGACGGCGCCGCCACCCCGAGGCTCAGCGTGAGTAACAGGGCGCTGGGCCGCGATCCGGGGAGAGGGCGGCCAGGGCGTCCAGCAGCCGAGGCTGGGGTGTCCAGGAGTAGGGGGCCGGGGCGTCCAGCAGCTGGGTGCTGGCCTCGGTTCCTCCCCTAGGCGTGGGACTCCTAGCTAACCAGCAGAGGGGTGGGCACCCTGGGGTGTGCGTGCAGGCCTACCCCCGCCCTGCCCTGCCTTTCTCCTGTCTCTGAGTGTCCCCACTGCAGGGGTGCAGAGGTGACCCTCCCCCACTCTCCCTCTCCCTCTCCCCCCTCTCTGCGTCCTCCTCTCTTTCACCTCCCCCTCCCCCTTCAGCAGTGCCTCCACCCCCTGGATCTGGGCCCCCCCACGGGTCCCCCCACCCGGCATCTGAGGCCGGAGGGCACAGAGTGACTCCGGCGGGAGCAGGGGGCACTGAGCCGAGACTCCCCAGGAGACGAGCCTGGGCCCGGCGGGGCCCCCAGAGCTGCAGGTGTGGGTGGTGCCCGGGGAAGGGGCGCTCCTGGCGGGGACACCACCCAGCAGGGGGACAGAGTGGTCCTGACACCCCAGCTCGCCCCGAGCCTGCTGCAGACTCAGCCCCGCACGCCTGCTGGCACTGCACACAGACCGCTCACGTGCACACGCATGCAAACCACAGCTCATGTGCACACACGCCTGGACAGTCACACAGGCTTCCACAAGCGCACATCTGTGTGTGCACGGCCAGACCCGCACACACGCGCCCGACACTCACAGGCCCTCCGTGTGCCCGGCCAGGCCGCCCCGCAGAGCCGTCGAGGATGAAGGTGCTGCCGGCCGCTCTCCTCTGCTTGCTGCTGCTGGGCCTGGCGCTGGGGGGGGCCGTGAGCCGGGGACCCCCGCGCTCCATGGAGGTCCACGGTGAGTGTCCAGCCTCTTGGGCGCCTCTGGGGCTGTCCCAGGGCCTCCTTCCGAGGGGGCGGGGGGTGGACCCCCGATCAGTGGACCCGCCTCCTTCCCTCCACAGCCCCCGACATCGATGCCACCTGGTACAGGGGCCGCGGGATCCGGCCCGTGGGACGCTTCGGCCGCAGGAGACACGCCCCGGGCCGCAGCACCCAGCTGGCACCGCGGAGGAGATGGGTCATCCCTGGCCTGGAGGGGGGCAGCATGGCCCCCTAGGGCACTGAGGGCCCCGCCCAGCCCCACCTCCCTCCCCCAATAAAGCATCTGCCTCTCAGGGGTGCACGTGTGTCTGTGTCTACATGTTGTGCATGTGTGTACCCATGTGTGTGTCTGTGTGCATGTGCCCGTGTGTGCATCTGTACCATGTGTGTGCACGTCTGTGTGCATGTGTGTGCCTGTGTGAGTCTGTGCCATGTGCATGTGTGTGTGCCTGTGTCCATGTGTGTACCCACATGTGTGTCTGTGTGCGTGTGCCTGTGTGTGCATCTGTGCTGTGTGTGTGAACGTCTGTGGGCATGTGTGTGCCTGTGTGTGTGCGTCCGTGCCATGTGCATTTGTGTACGTTCCTGTGTTCATGTGTGTACCCACGTGTGCATCTGTGCCGTGTGTGCGTGTCTGTGTCCATGTGCATGTGTGTGAGTGTGTCCGTGTGGTGTGTGCACGTGTTTGTATGTCCCTGTGCATACAATGAAATGCTCGACCATGCTTGCACACCGTGTTTACATATGCCCACACCTGTACACGTACACGCACCCGCCACCCCCTGAGGTGGAGGGCCTGAGAAACGGGAACGGAAGCCAAGATTGCGGGAAAAACACAGGACGCGACTGTCGGGGCCGCTAGCGCCACCTGGTGTCCAGGGCTGAGCTCAGCTCCCAAGGCACCAGGCCCGCGCCCCTCAGGCCAGGGGTGTGTGCAGACACGCAACTTCAGTGCCCGAGGGCCCCCTCAGAGCGCTGAGACCCCCCAGACTCACCCCTGCCCGAGAAGGGCCTTGTGGGGTGGGGGGGTTCAGAAGCTGCCATGAGACGGGCCCAAGTGCCCCGGGCTGGTGGGTGCCAGGGCTGCCCCTGGGCTCCCGGGGGAACACGCACATTTCCAGGGCGACCCGTCACAACAGGTCAGCACACACTCAGCGGCCGCTTGTGGGACGAGCTCAGAGTGCCCCCAGACATGGGCAGTGGGTCCCAGAGGCAGCAAGGGGTTCAGGACAGTGGCCTCAGCTGGTGGGGGACAGGGTGTGGCCTTGAGCTCTGAGTCCAGGGGGTCGCAGGGCCTGGGAAGGGCCGTGTCCACAGGTTGCGCCGGGCAGGACATGCCCTCCTGGGCTGGGCCCGGGGCAGGTCGGGGTGTTAGGGGCACCGCGCCCCAGGAAGAAGCCACATTCTCGTCCACACAGAGCCTGGTGGTGGGCCCACGAGGCCGGGGGGACAGGCCGGCCCCTCTCCGGGCGCTGTCCTAGCGGGCGCAGCACTGCCGGGCAGGGCGTCCGTCCAGGGGCAGCCGTGCGTCCCCCCGGGGCCCCGCGTCCTCCTTCTGCTGCTCCCTCCGTAGTAGCTCCTGCGCTGTGGGGGTGGGCTTCAGGGGGAGAAGCCCCCGCCTCCCCCCAGGGACCCCAGGCGAGCCCGACCGAGGTTAGGGGGTCCCAGGAAGCGGAGAAGAGCCAGACGGGGCAGGGGGACCCCACTCCCCCCATAGGATGGGCCAGGGGACCCCACTCACCCACAGCACTGAAGAGCTCGGCGACGCCGTTGCCCCGCAGGGCCGAGGCCTCGGAGAACAGCAGCCCCTGGCTCTCGGCCAGCCCCTGCCCCTCCTGCGGGCCGGCCCAACCTTCACCAGCGCCCAGCACGGCCCCTCCCCTGCCCAGGGCCAGGGTCCTGGGCGGGTCCCCTACCCTTTCCGGCTCCTTGGGCTGAAGTGGCCGTGGCCTCTAGGTGGGACCCCGAGAGGCAGCACGCCCGCACCCAAACCCAAACCCTCTCCTGTTTCTAGCTGCCCCTGAGGGACAGGAAGGAGAGACAGAGGGTCCCGGCCCCCATGGGCCCCCCAAACTCGCCTCTAAGTGTTCATCCACCCCACCCTGCCTCCTTCTCTGCCCTCACCCCCAAATTCTGAGTTCCTGCAGCCTCTGCTCAGTTCCTCGGAGACACACACACACACACACACACACACACACACACACCCTTGTACACACTCACACCTACACCGACCTACACTCACACACACTCACACCTACACACACCAACACACATACACTCACCTACACACACCTATATATACCTACACAGTCACATCTACACTCAGACCTGCACACCCCCAGTCCCACACTCTCCTGCCGCAGAGCCCGTGTCCCGCCCACACGTTCCCGTAGGCTGGGCCGCGTGTCTGTCCCCTGAGCAGGTGAGGTGCTGGAGCCTGCGGACCCCTGCGGGCCGCCCACTGCTGACCCTGAGAGGCCGGGCCCCTCACTCGGGTGGGGCATGCGTGGTGTGTCCACACAGAAGAGGGACGCGTGTGGCGGCATGCAGGGCCCGGAGCGTGGCCCACCTGCACAGTCACCTCCCGCTCGGGGCCGAGGTCCGCCTTGTTGCCCACCAGCATGACCAGCACGTCCTCGGGGCCCGTCTCCTGCCGCAGCTCCTGCAGCCAGCGCCGGGCCTGCTCCAGCGAGTCCTGGGCACAGCGCAGGGTCAGCCCTACTGCCCAGTGGGCTGGGGGCTCACGGTGGACCTGGAGGCGGGGCCAGGGCCAGGGGCAGACCCAGGGACTGGCTGTGGGTGGACCCCGGAGCCCTGGTTTCCGACATCCTTTCCTGCTGAGCCCCAAAGCCTCCCTCCTGGCCGCCCCAGGACCTCAGGGGACAGTCCGGGAAGAGCTGGAGCCCCAAACCCCGACCCTAGGCACTGTGTCCACACCCTAGGTGGCCGGTACTGCCCTGCGCCCCACACCCCCAGGGTCCTGCACCACTCCATCCTCTCCCACAAGGCCAGTCCCCCTTGAGCCTCCTCCTGGAAGCCCTCCTTGCTGCCCCCGGGTCTGGTGGGAGGCCCCCGAGCCTCACCTTCCGGGCGACGTCATACACCAGCACCGCTGCGTGGGCGCCCCGGAAGTACAGGCGGCAGACGCTGTGGTACTTCTCCTGGCCCGCCGTGTCCCAGATCTCCAGCCTGACAGCCGCGGGGCCCACCGCCAGCTCCTTGGTGAGGAAAGCGCCTGAAAGGGGGGCGCAGAGGCTCAGGGGGCCGGCCTGCTGGGGCGTGGTGGAGTCGGGGACCAGGAAGCCCAGGCGGCAGGGTGTCGAGGGCCGGGCATGGGGGGGCATCAGGGCCGGGGCCCACGGGTGTCAGAGCTCCAGCAGCTCACGCAGGTGCTCCAAGAGAATCAGACAGAGCTCCTGCCCGGGAGCTGCCCTCGCCCCCTGGGCCCGTCCCCCAGCCCCGCTGTGGCCCTGCGGCTCCCTCGCCGGGACCTGACAGGGGGCCTAGTGGCGTCCCCACTCTCTGGGCTCCAGCACCCACAGTCTGTGCACTATGGAAGGCCCCGACCCAAGGCCCCTCATGCCAGGGATCGTGGGCGGCCACAGGCACTGGGGCATGAGGGGGGCCTGGGCGGGGCCGTGGGCGGGGCCGTGGTTTCTGGGCGGGGCCTGGGCAGGGCTGAGGTCGTGGGGCGGGGCCTGGGCGGGGCCGTGACTCCTGGGCGGGGTCTGGGCGGGAGCTGGGCAGGGCTGAGGGCCTGGGGCGGGGCCTGGGCGGGGCCGTGGGTGGAGCCGTGAATCCTGGGCGGGGCCTGGGCGGGGCTGAGGGCCTGGGGCGGGGCCTGGGCGGGGCCGTGACTCCTGGGCGGGGTCTGGGCGGGAGCTGGGCAGGGCTGAGGGCCTGGGGCGGGGCCTGGGCGGGGCCGTGACTCCTGGGCGGGGTCTGGGCGGGGCCGTGACTCCTGGGCGGGGTCTGGGCGGGAGCTGGGCAGGGCTGAGGGCCTGGGGCGTGGTCTGGGCGGGGCCGTGAATCCTGGGCGGGGCCTGGGCGCGGTCGGGGGGCGGGGTCGAGGGGGCGGGGCCAGGGGCGGGGCCGTGGGCCAGACTGTGGGTGGGCCCATGTGCTGGGCCTGGGTGAGGCAGTGGGCAGTGCCTGGGCAGTGCCTGGGTCGGGGCAGAGCAGAGCCTGCCAGGGTGGGTGGGGCGTGGGCAGGAACTGGGCGAGGCCATGGGCGGGAACGGGCCAGGGCATGGGCGTGGCAGTGGGCGGGGCTGTAATTGGGGTTGTGGGCGGGGCCGTGGGCGAAACCTGGCGGGGCCATGGGCCAGACTGGGTGAGACACGTGTGCTGGGCCTGGGTGGGACAGTGGGCGGTGCCTGGGTGGGATGTGGGTGGGGCGTGGGAAGGGACTGGGCGGGGCCGTGGGCGGGGCATGGGTGGATCGTGGCGGGGACTGGGCGCCGACGCGGGGTGTTGGGCATGGGTGGGCCGTGGGCAGGGCCTGGGCAGGGGCCGTGGGCAGGGCCCTGGGCCCGACCGTGGATGTGCTGGGCCCGGGTGGTGACCCCGCACTGCTCCGCGTGGGCGCGCCTGGGCTGCCACCGCTGGAAGATTCTGGCAAACAGTCACTCGCGGGCATTCACCTGCTCAAGGTCCCTGGGCGTGCCCTGCCCCTCCTCCCCCTCCCCAGGCCGTGGCCACGAGCTGCCCGGCCAGCCGCGGGGTTTCGGAGGCTGAGCCCGAGGACACGGAGGGCACGAGCCCAGCCGTCCCCCTGGTCTCTGCATCTCGGGCACCCTGGGAAGCTGGAGCCCCCAGCCGACGCCTGGACCTCCTCTGTGCCCCGCTCCTCGGGTGGGGGTCCGCCGAGAAGCTGGGCGCTGCCCCCCAGTGAAGGACGGAGCGAAGGAGGAGTGAGGGAGGGAGGGAGTGAGGGAGTGAAGGGATGGAGGGGGGAGGCGATAAAGGAGCAGGCAGGAAGGATGAAGGATGGAGGAGTAGGGGTGGAGGAGGGAGGGAGGAGGGAGGAGTGAGTGAAGGGCTGAGTGACTGACTCAGAGCTGCAGCTCCCTGGAGGGGAAGTTCTTCCCACCGTGGTCGTGTCCCCAGGCGCCCGGGGGGGACGTGGAGGGGCACAGCCCAGTGGTGCCCGGAAGCCCCTGTGGGAGCCAGGCGCAGCCCCTCCTCCTGCTCCCCGTGCAGGGAAACTGAGTCGGGGCAGAGCAGAGCCTGCCAGGGCGGGTGCCGGCGAGCGGCGCGGAGTCTCCAGGGCGCGGTCACACCCAGCGGACGGCCCGTCCCACCGGCCCCGCTGCCTGCCAGCCCCCCGCACCCACAGGGACCCCCGGCCGCCACACTCACAGCCCACGGTGGGCAGGATGCTGCGGAAGTCGTTCCTCACGTAGCGCAGCGCCAGGCTGGACTTGCCCACCGACTCGCTTCCCAGGAGCACCAGCTTGAAGACGTGGGGCCCGGCCGGCGGCCCCATGACCTGCGGGACAGCGGGGTCACCCCAGGCCGGGCTGCTCCACGCACACCTTTGCCTCGCCGGGCCGGGCCAGGTGCCAGCCCTGAAGCAGCACGGGGCCTGGGGCCATGGGGGAAGCAGTGCTCCAAGAGCACCGAGGCCCAGGCCAGAGTCTGCGCCCAGCACTGGCCCGGGGACTCGGGGGAAGATTACAGTCCCGGTCTAAATCAGCAACTGAGCTAAGTACCCCAGAGCTAGGTACCCACAGAGCTAAGTACCCACAGAGCTAGGTAACCATGGAGCTAAGTACCCATGGAGCTAAGTACCCACAGACCTAGGTACCTACAGACCTAGGTACCCACAGAGCTAAGTACTCATAGAGATAAGTACCCACGTGGCTAAGTACTCACAGAGCTAAGTACCCACAGACCTAGGTACCTACAGACTTAGGTACCCACAGAGCTAAGTACTCATAGAGATAAGTACCCACGTGGCTAAGTACTCACAGAGCTAAGTACCCACAGACCTAGGTACCTACAGACCTAGGTACCCACAGAGCTAAGTACTCATAGAGATAAGTACCCACGTGGCTAAGTACTCACAGAGCTAAGTACCCACAGACCTAGGTACCTACAGAGTTAGGTACCCACAGAGCTAAGTACTCTAGAGATAAGTACCCACATGGCTAAGTACTCACAGAGCTAAGTACCCACAGACCTAGGTACCCACAGAGCTAAGTACCCACTGAGCTAAGTTCCCACAGAGCTAGGTACCCACAGAGTTAAGTACCCACAGAGCTAGGTACCCATGGAGCTAAGTACCCACAGACCTAGGTACCTACAGAGCTAAGTACTCTATAGATAAGTACCCACATGACTAAGTACTCACAGCGCTAAGTACCCACAGACCTAGGTACCTACAGAGCTAGGTACCCACAGGGCTAGATGCCGACAGAGCTAGGTAACCCCAGAGCTAAGTACTCACAGAGATAAGTACCCACATGGCTAAGTACTCAGAGCTAAGTACCCACAGAGCCAGATGCCCACAGAGCTAGGTGCCCACCGAAGTAGATGCCCACAGAGCTAAGTACCAACAGAGCTAGTACCCATGGAGCTAGAGGAGGAAGGAAGGACAGGAGGCTGGGAGGGCTGGATGATGGGTGGCGGATGGAGGATGAACGGAGGATGATACATGATCTGTGGGGCACGGGGAAAGGAGGGACAAAGGCTGGGGACAGAGAAAGGACGAAGGGGACGTGGAGGCTGGACTGACAGATACAAACAGAGGGAAGAATGGATGGAGGAAGGACGGGCGGGTGGATGGGGGTGGATGGACCAGGATGGAGGGACGGACGATAAGCGACAGATGGAGGATGGAAGGACGGACGGGGTGGATGGGGTGTGGGTGGGTGGAGGACGGACGGGGAGCAGAGGAGGGACGGAGGATGGAGGGATGGAGGGCGGGTCGGTGGATGAGAAGCAGATGGGGGGAGAGTGGGTGAAGGGAGGAGGGGCTGGCTGGACGGGGGATGGGTAGAAGATGGGAAGGGTGGAGGGAGGAGGGGTGAGGGGCAGGTGGGGGAGGAGGAAGGCTGGTGATGGGTGGGAGGAGTGGGACATGGGTGCTGGGACGCTCAGGCCAAGGGGGCGACTTAGACATCGGGGATTTGAAACTCAGAACCGCCTGGGACCCGGTGCACTCGCTCTCCCTCAGTCCCAGCAGCTCGGGAGCACAGTGGGGAGGGCGGGGAGGGCGGGCCCTGTCCCACCCACCCAGGCTCCATCCCTAGCATCACATGTGGCCAACGGGAGTGACCCTGAGCAGGAGCCTGGCGACACCCTGAGCACCATGGCTGTGGGCCCCACCCAATATGAGCATGGACCGTTGGAGCTCCCTGTACTGCCCTGTGGCCATCTGGTACGTATCTAAGGCCCCTGCTGACACGAGACCATTCCTGAGCCCCCAGAAAGCGAGGGCGAGGGTCCTGCCCACGCGAGTCCCCCTGCTGCTCGTGTCAGACTCCCCCAGGAGAAGCAAACCTTGGCCCAGAGCCTACTGGACGGGATGCAGGGGCAGGGATGGAGAGGGCCCAGCGGCTCCTGGTGAAACCCCGCTCTCCCCACTGGACCCAGGACAGCCTCACGCCCCCTCCCCCCCCCCCCCCCCCCCCCCCCCGCATCCAGCAGCCTCTCCGCTGCCAAGAGGGTCTCCAGGCTTTCCCAGAGAGCCGGAACATCAGCCTGGAGGCGGGACCACGCCCTGCATGTCAGGAAAGAACAAACAGGATCCGCTCTGTGCTGTGTGAGAGGAACCAGTGTCCACGCCCAGGTGACCCCTCGCCCTGCTCTTAGCTGACTGGGCGGGGCCTGGGGTCACCTGCCAGGGGACATGCCTCTGCCACCCATCAGCACCCTTTGCACCCTCAACTCTGCCCTCAGTGCTTGGAGGGAGCCTTGTGCTGAGGGGACATGGTGGAGGGTCTGGGGGCACATCAGAGGTCCCGCCCTCCCTGGCGGCCACACAGCAGGTCCCCCTCCAGCTCACCTGGTGGTCAGGGTGTGCACCTGCCCCCGCCTCCACCTGCCTAGTTCTCCCTCGAGCACCTGAGTCGGCTGAGACAGTCCTGGGGGCACCTCCTCCCGCCCCCATCTCTCCCAGGGCCTAGACAGACCCCAAGGCCCCAGGAAAGTGGCTCCTTCCAGAAGCTTCCCAGCCACAGGGTCCCCAGAAGGAATCCCAGGTTTCCATCCTCACTTTGCCCACTGGGTCACGGGCACACACATACATGCGCACAGACATGGACACACAAACACATAGAGAGTCACAGACACAGCATGCAGGCACACGGACACACACTGACATGGACACACACAGGTATTTCTGACACACACACACACAGACACATGGCCATGAACACACAGACACATGGCCATGGACACACAGACATGCTCAGATGTGAATGCACACAGACACACACAGAGACACTCATGCAGATGTAAACACACAGAAACTCACAGACACTCACCGACAAGGACGCAGACACGCACAGACACAGAGACACTCACACAGATGTAAACGCACACACAGACACACACACAGACACACACGGAGACACTCAAGTAGGTGTAAATACACAGACACACACACACAGCTATACACAGACACACATGGAGACACTCATGCAGATGTAAACACACAGACACACAGAGACAAGGATGCAGACACACACAGACACACACGAAGACACTCATGTAGATGTAAACACACAGACACACACACAGACACTCATAAACAAGCAGGTAGACACACGCGGACACACACACACGGAGACACTCACATAGATCTAAACACACAGACACACATGGAGACACTCACACAGATGTAAACACATACAGACACTCTCAGACAAGCACACAGACACACACACAGCTACACACAGACATACATGGAGACACGTAGATGCGTAGATGTAAACACACACACAGGCACTCGCAGACACTCACATAGGTGTAAACACACACAGACACACACACACACAGACACTCACGGACAAGCAGGCAGACACACTCAGTACACACAGACACACTCGGAGACACTCGCATAGTGCAATGACACAGACACGGTGTGCTGTGTGTATGTGACTCACCTGTTCCCAGGCCTGGTGGCCCTGCCGTCCCCTGGGTCCCGGTGGTTCCTGCACGGCCGCTGGGTGTGGCTGCAGGCTTGGCTGGAGGCGGGGCCGCCCAGCCCCGGGTCAGGCTGGGGACAAGGTCCAGCGGGTCACGTGACCCAGTGGGGCCACCCCAAGGGCGTCCTGGAGCTGGTCCTCCTAGTGTCCCCCACTGACCCTGCTGTGTCGGCTGCAGCCTCGGGGTGTCATCGGGGAAGCAGCTGCTCTGGGACCCAGACCTGCCCCGGCCTACTCTGCAGTCAGGGCCCCAGGCCAGGCCACCCGGGGGTGGACTTCCCGCTGACCTTTGACCCCAGGACTTCCCACTGAGCTTTGACCTCCCCCCCACACACACACACAGGCGACCAGGGGAGGCGGGACTTCCTGCTCTCTCCCCTCTGAGCACACCCAGGGCACCAAGGAGCCTGGCTAGTTCGAGTGGGCACAGCCGCTTGAGCGGTGTTGTTGGGGACATGCACGTGAGGGGTCACTCACGAGCCTGGCCCTGGGCTGGAAGCCCCAAGACGACCAGATTTCCCTGCCCTTGGGCTCTGGTCTGGGCAGGCGACCTGGCTGCCCCCAGGCGGCTGCTGCAGGGTCCCGCCTCCCTGGGGGCTCACTGGGTTTCTCCCCACTTGCCCCCCACGAGAAGCCAGGGCCGGGGTGGACATCACTGTTTGCCTGTGGCCCGGGTGGGTCCAGTTCTGACCCTGAATAGTTCTGGGGTGCAGCCACTTTGGCCCCCTGAGCTGACCAACCTCAGGCCTGGCCCCGGGGTCTGCGGGCCAGGCCCCCACCTGCTCTGCTCACCAGACCCCAGGCTGGAGTGGGGCCCTCAAAGGCTCTGGGGGCATGAGGGGGCGGCCAGGACACTGAGCAGGGGGTCACCAGAGCAGAGGTGGGGACCCCAGGAAACCCACCGCCCACCCCTAAAGGTCGGGGAAGGGAGGCGTCGTCATGGTGTGAGGCAGGGCCCTGGAGTGTCCTGGCCCGCGGGGGAGGCCGGGGGGGCCAGAGGCCAGGGCAGGACACGGGTGCAGGAACAGTGGCTGCTGTGACCAGCCAGCAAGCAGAGACAGGGAGCCAGAGGGGCACCCCCGGGTCAGTCACAGCCACTGGGAGCAGGGGACACGTGGGAGCCAAGCCCCCCGCAGATGCAGCCCGCAGGAGGATGGCAGGACCCATAGACCCTCGGGGCGCAGCTCTCACTGGGACAAAGCAAAGGACAAGGACAGACCAGATGTTCTGGGACCTGTGCCCTGGGCTGCGGAGCTAGGGTGGGGGTCCGGTAGAGAGGGGCGGGGGTCCTAGAACTAGGGGCGCGGGTCCCAGAGATGGGGGTGTCCGGAGCTAGGGGCAGGGGTCCCAGGGCTAGGATGGGGGCCCCGGAGCTAGGCGTGGGGGCCCAGAGTTAGAGGCGGGGGTCCCGGAGCTAGGGCTGGGCCTGGGTCTGCGTAGCCCTCACACCTGTCCCCTGTGCCCGAGCCTCAGTGCAGCCTCAGCCGCACGGCCCTGCCAGCCGCCTGCGTCTCCCAGTCCGGGCCCTGCGTGCGGGTCGGACTCTCTCTGGAGTCAGAACCCCCCTGTGCGCCCCCACCCTTCGCTGTCGTAGGACCCTGCTCTGTCGCCCTGCCCTGACCTCGGATCTCAGGAGCTTGTCCCTTCGTCACACGCCCCAGCTTCCTGTTCCAGGCCAGCAGGAGAGGCACCTTCTAGAACCTTTACAGCCCTTGACTAAGTCAGGCCGCCGGCACCACCTGCCCGCTCCTTGTTCCTGATGAGGGCAGGCCCACCTGCCCTCTCCTTGGCCCTGATGAGGTCAGGCCCACCCGTGTTCTCCTCGACTCAGTCCTCAGGCGCTGCTCTGTGTCAGGGGGAACAGCCGTGTGGCCCAGCCCCGGGCACTCCCCAGTGGAGGGGCAGTAGGCTGACCAAGAGCCTGGACCGTAGGAGGCAGGAGGCTCTGGTGGGGGCCGGAAATGCCCCAACTTCCTCCCGGGGCGTCTCCCGGGCCCCTCTGGGGAGACGCGGGTTTGGAGCTGGTCGTTCCCGGCCCTGTCTCCGGCCCTGCAGCCATGGCCTTGGCCAGGGCACTGGCCGCATCCCCCACCACCTGACCTTTGTCCCCTCCACCCGCGGCCTGTCCCTTTCTGAGGTCTCAGAAGCCGCCTCCCAGCCTCAGCCCCACGTCCCCCGCGGCCCCCAGAGGCACGAAGCCCCTTTGGAGGAGCGTGGCCGCTGATCCCTGTGGGAGGTGCTGACCTTCGGAGCGTCCAGACCAAGCGGGCTGGATAGGAGCAGCTGGACAGGAGCGGGCTGGACAGGAGCGAGCTGGACAGGTGCGGGTGCCGTGGCCTCGCTTATCTCGGTGGAAAAGTCCCGGGATCTCTGAGCTGCAGGCAGGCCGGCCCGGGCCAGGGCGTGGTGCGTGGCCACTGGCCAGCCGAAGGAGGAACGGCGGGTGCCTGAGGGGCAGGAGCCCACATGCCCTGGGAAGCACCGAGGGGGCGGAGGCCACGTGTGCGCATTCTGGCCAGGGGGGAGTGGCCCCCACCCCGCACCACCGGAGCCCAGACTGAGGAGAGTGAGCACCGGACGGAGAGCATGCAGGGACGGGACCGGCCATTGTTCCCGGGGGGTGAGCGGGACAGAACTTTCCAGAACTCCCGCAGGGCTGCTGGGCCCAGGGCGTGTCTTGGAGTCTGGTCCCGAGAACTGGGGTCTCTGCCCTTCCCAGCCCTTCCGGACTGTGCATGGCCCTGCCTCAGGGCCCTGGGGTCCGGGCCCACAGGGCATTTCCTCAGCACAGTGGCGGGCAGGGGTCACGCTCAAGGGAGACCCGCAGGGACCCGGGTGCAGGGCTGTCCCCCGCCCTGAGGGCTCCTGCCTGCTGACCCTGGGGTACCACAGCCCTGGGCCTCCCATGGTGGCCGGGAGGCAGGAGCTCAGCCCCCACCCCCACCCCATGCCCCCCACTCCAGTCCTGCTTTAAGGGGACTCAGGGGGGGTCTCCAGCCCCGAGGCTTCCCAATGCAGCCGCGACCTGATGCCTGGGGGCCGCATGGGGACAGTGCTGGACGGGGTCGGGGTGTCCGGAGGGGCGTGTTTTGCCCCCTCTGGGGCTCTTCGCATCTGTACAATGGGCCAACACCTCACCCGACATGCTGAGTTCTGCCTGAGTTCAGGGACCCCACAGGCTGCTGCCCAGAGCTGCCCGGACTGACAGACGGACGGACAGATGGACAGCCTCACACCCGCTGGCACCCACAGGCTGAAGATAGGGAAGCGGCCGTGAGCTCACTGCAGAGTGGGGGTTGCCGTGGCCGTGTGGGTCGGGTGAGGTGGGGGGGCAGTGAGAAGTCTCCAGAACCTTCCAGGCGGCGAGGAGGGCGTGGTGGGGGGGATGCATTTCCTGTTCTCCTCCAGAGAATGTTGGAAAACACTGTAGGGAACTACGGAGACCCACCAGAAAATTCCAAAATTCATTCTGTTGCAGTAGGCCCAGCCCCAAAGGTGATGGAGGAGGAGGAGGAGGAGGAGGGGGTGGGGGAGGGGGAGGAGAGGGAGGAGACGGACAGACAGACGGGACCATGCGCTCGGCCTGAGCCTAAGGCGACAGGGACAGACACGGGGACCCACGCCCCTCACTGTGCTCTGCCTGGGGTAAGCGCCTTCCCGAGACCGCGGGGTTGGCTGGTGGGGCTGTCGGAGGGCCCCGGGTTGGGCCCTGAGCGCGCCCCTCTGTCTGCTTCTCCGTGTCTGGTCCTGTGCCAGCCGGGGTCCCCGAGGGGCGCGGGTCTCCGTTCTGCCACGGCTCTCGCCCCCTCGACGTTCCCCCAGCGGCTGGGCGCGGAGGGGCTTGTGTCCTGCCAAACTGCTCCCGGGGGACCTGCTTTGTTTGCACAAGGGCCTTTGCCGAGGGCTTGGGAGTGACCCCAGAGCAGAGAGCCGCTGGCCCCGGCCTGGCGCCTGCTGCCGGAGTCCCGGGGCTGGAGGCGGCACGTCTGCTCTCGGGGTGTGCTGGCCTCGCCGTCCGGACCCCCCAAGTCTCTGCAGGGTCTTAGTCCCCGGGAGCGGCCCCAAGGAGTCCCGGGAGCAGAGGGCAGAGGGCCAGGGCGGGTGCCTGGTGGTGGGCAGGGCAGGGCCCGCAGTGCCAGGGCTCTCCTGTGGGCAGGGTGGAGGCGAGGAGCGCAGGGCAGGGCTTGGGTCTTCGCTCCCGCCAAGTGGAAAGTGTTGGCAGAGAGACGCCAGCCTGCTGGGGCCGGGTTCAAGGAGCCGCTGCCTCAGAAGGCGCCTGGCGGGGCTGGGGACCCACTGCGGGCCCAGCAAGGGGCCCTGCACCCCAAGGGCAAGGGAGTGGAGCCCACGTGCCCCAGCCCGGAGCTGGTCGTGCTCAGAGCAGGCCGCAGGCAGGTGGTCACCACGACGGGCACCCCACGCCTGGGGGTCTCAGCGCTTCTCTGTCAAGCCTGAGAGCCTTTGGGCAGCCCCCCGTGCTGTGACCCCGCGACACTGCCAGGTGGGCTGTCAGGCACGCGGCTGCTGGGTCTTTGCTGGCCGGAGACCACGGGGGGTTCCTGCTGGGGGTGCCCAAGGGGGTCCAGGTTTGGAAGATGCAGGATCAGGCCCTGAGATATTAGGGGCCGTGGGGGGTTCCTGGCCCCACGAGAGGCGAGAACAGACTCAGGGGCCCCCACTTACCCACTGACTGTGGGACAGGCTCTTGGCCCGACCCAACCCAACAGGGACAGTCAGCAGTGCTGGGCTCTGGCTAAGGCTCCCCGGGGCCGTGTCCGGAGTCAGGAGGGTCGGGCCAGGAGCTGGGGGGCAGGGGTGCTGCCCAGACCTGGCACTGGCAGCCTCCCTGGACCCTGGGCCAGGCAGGGTGGGCAGTGTGAGGGTCCGGCTCCTCAAGAGGTTGGTGCAGGGGATGAGGGGTGAGCCCAGTCTGGCCGCGGGTGGCTCTCCCCACTCACGCTGCTCCCCACTCCGTGTCCCGGGCTGTCGCGAGGCCGTGGGTGCGGCCCTGGCTGGGGTGTGGGTGTGTGTCCCGAACTTGAAGCCTGTGGACCCCGCACCTTTGGGAGTTGGCTGGGGAAGCTTCTAGAATGGCAGCCACCCACGCACGTGCTCGCATGCACACACATGCACACGCATGAGCACACATGCCCATAGGTGCACAGTGTGTGTGCATGTGTGTGTGGTCCCCCACGGGGACCCCGCCTGCCCCGGGCCCTGCTCTCGGGGTTTCTCATCCCACCTCCCCCGTGGCTGGGCCCTGTCCCGGGGGCTCCTGCCGGGATGCTGGCCTGCAGGTGCATGTCTCCTTAGTGTCCGCGTGGCTGGCCGCCGCCCACTGACGTGAAATTCCTCGGGTAGGTTCCGGCTTCTCAGAACTGCGGGGCTGGTCTCTGGGCCCAGAGCCGAGCCAGGATTTCACACGAACGTTTCCCTCTGAGACAGTCTCGGTCCCGGTCCCTCTGGGGGCCCGGAGGAGCTGTTCTGTCCTGGAGGGGACAGGGACGGCTATGGGGGTCTGCCCAGAATCCTGGGAGAGTCCCCAACCCTGAGTCTCTGTGGGGCCACTGCCCCTGGAGAGGCACCGTGGTGGCCTTGGCAGGACAGAGCCCAGCCCCCAGCCTGAGGTGGGGAAGAGCCGGGCAGCGAGTGACCGGTCCGCCCTGCTCAGCCTGGCTCCTGGTTCTGTGCTCAGGGGTCACTCCTGGTGGTCCTGGGGACCACGTGGGGCTGGCACAGGCTGCCGTGTGCAGGGCCAGCGCCCTCCCGGCTGCCCAGTGTCCGGCTCCTGTCCAAGCCTTAGAACACCGCGGTTGGGGACTGAACCCGGAGCCCCCAGAAGCGTGTCCAATAGCCCCCGCGTCCCTCTGGGGGATGGTGGCTGGACTTCTGTGGCTTAGCTGACCCCGACCTGCGTCCTGAGACCCCAAGTCCGGAACACACAGGGGCCTGCATGGAGTCCCCTTTCTCGATGCTGTGCTAAACCCACGCCCCCGCGCCCTCGGGTCTCCGTGTCCGTGTCTCTGTGTCCGTGTCTCCGTGTCCCAGGAGCGGGGACTCAGCTTCCTGCGTCCGAGGGCGCGGCTGCCTGGCGGCCTCCAGGGGGCGCCTCCCCCTGCGCGCGTGGTCAGGCTCCCAGTGGACATGGGTCTGCCGGCACCGGGAGGGCAGTGTGGGGATGCCAAGAGACAGTCTGCGCGCTCTTGCTCAGAGGACGTGACCTTGAGTGCGGACTGAGTCTGGAGGGGAGACGGTGAAGCCCCCGGCCCCCTGAGCTCTGCAGGAAGCACGTCAGGGCTGGGGGAGGGTCAGCCCCCCGCGTGCTGCCCGCATTCACAGTGGCCTCAGCAGGGCAGGGCTGCCCGGCACAGCCATGGCCTTCAGACTGGAAGCTGGTTCTGGTGGCCGCACCGGGGGAGCCCCAGCTCACGTCCACCCTCTGCCCTTTGCTGTGTTGTCCTGGGGGGCAGATGGACAATCCTCACTGGGTGGGGGGACCCCCTCTCTCGGACCCCCGCGGATGCCGGCCAGGTCTCTGCAGTCGGAACTCTGTCTGCTGGGTCACAACCTCGCACCTGAGGGCCTGGGGCTGGGGTGACAGGGACGGCCACGCTGCCTCTGGGGGGAAAGGCCCACCTGGCCTTGGCTTCTCCGCTCTGCCCGCGGCTCTGATGGCACAAGGGGCATCTCGACAGCCCCAGGGGCATCCCGAGTCCTACATGTGGAGTGTGCGGGCCTGTGAGTTTGTGTCTTGTGTGAGCAGGTAAGTTTGTGAGTGTGTGTGAATGTGTGACTGTGTATCTGTGTGAGAGTGGGTGAGTGTGTGTGTGTCTGTGTGTGAGTCTGTGAGTGGCTGAGTGTGCGTGAGCATGTCAGTGTGCATCTGTGAGTGTGTGTTTGCGTGTGTGAGCCTGTAAATGTGTGTCTGTGTGTGAGCAGGTGAGTGTGCATCTGTGTGAATGAGTGAGTGCAATGTGAGTGTGTGAGTGTGAGCATGTGTGTGGGAGTGTGTGAGCCTGTGAGTGTGTATGTCAGTGTGTGTGTGTGAGTGGGAGAGTTGTGGGTGTGTGTGGGAGTGAGTGGCTGAGTGTGAGTGAGCATATCAGTGTGCATGTGTGAGTGGGTGAGTGTGAATGTGTGAGTTGTGTGGGAGCATGTGAGTGTGGCTGCATGTGAGTGAATGTGTGTGTGAGCATGTGAGAGTGAGTGTGTGAGTGTGCCTGTGAGCATGGGAGTATGTATGTGTCACTGTGAATGTGAACGTTAGAGCATGTGTGTGCAAGTGTGTGAGTGTGTGAGCGCGGGGGAGTGTGTGAGTATG